TTTTTGTAATAAAATTAAATATAAACCTAATTTTTAATAATCTTTTCCATATTCATTACCCAAATACATAAACCTATAGTCTATTTTTATCTTTAGCAATTTTAAAAATAATAATATTATTTAAGTTTTTTTCAAATTCGTATTTTATAATTTCCCACACTCCCTATATAAACCCTAACAAGCCAGGTCAGTTTTTTTCTTACCTCAACTCGAGAAAACCTTTTAAGGTGAAATGTGTTGTTTTTTATTTGGATATTTTATATTTGTATGAATAAAGGTAATTTGGTTACTTCCTGTGCCATTTTACTCTTTTTTATTCTACATTTTATTTTTGTTACTATTTTATTATTTTCATCCTGTACTGCCTGGCACCTGATTTTATTTCCAGTGAACATCACTTCCAAGCAATATCCTCGGTGGGGATTATAACACCCAGGCCCTATCCATAGAGCAGTTTGCCTGCTCTGGAAAAGGTGAGTAAAATATTCGCTATCCATATTCCTGGTATCTTAAACTGTGAGCTCTATTTGTTGTTTCTTTTTATATTTTATGATCCTCATTGAACTGTGAAGTGAGGATTGTACCACTGCACGCTATCTATACTGGAGCTAATTCTAGCTCCATAAAACATGAGTAGGACTAAATCTATCATATATTTTGTACTCTCCCTGCCAGTACATACTGTACCATCATTTCTTTTCTCTTTACATATACGGATCCACTGCTGATCATCTTTGACATCCCCATAGAAGAATCCCTTCCATACCTCCGGATACCACCCCTGGCTATGTACATTTGCATCCACATTGGAATACCTATTCTGGACTTTTCCTACCTCTGGACTCTACAATCAGGACATTTCCATATATAAAACCATTTATTTTTTATTTACTTATTTATATATATTGTTTCCTATCTAAGTTGTTTCCTACTGTACCTTAGGTATTTCTGCTTTGTGGCGCTGCCCCTTCTGTCCTTTTGCTTACTGTCTCCACGAGCGGGGAAGAGGGATCCCCACTTTTGGGGTTAGCTGCCTCCCAATATATTATTTCTAGCAGTTGTTGTCAGCGCTGTCCCTCTCCCTATATCTCTATTAAGCACTGCAGAAGCCGGCTATTCCAGCCATGTGATCGCGAAAACCCTGCGATCACATGGCACAGTAGGGTCGGATCAGGCAGACCCCAGGATCGCGATTGCCAGCGGGGCATCGCCAGCGATCAGGTAAGTGGTGATTTACTATCGGACGTACCAGGTACGTCTGAGGTCGTTAAAGACCATTTTTGTCGGACGTACCTGGTTTATGTCCGAGGTCGGGAAGGGGTTAAATGTAATCTAGAACAGTGGTCTCCAACCCAGTCCTCAAGGACCACCAGCAGTCCAGAATTTATGTATTTACCTGTTTTGTTCCTATGGAGATACTGACAATACCTGGACTGTTGGTGGTCCATGAGGACTGGATTGGGGACCACTGATCTAAAACACGGCACATGGTGTAAAGCCTTTAATTCTACATGTAAACAGGTTCAATGTCTAAATCTAATAGAAACACACGTGGAGTAATGTTACTTACTTTGTATGTATGGGAATTCTCTCACATGGAATATTGCATACCACAACTGAGACAACTAGATGACAGGGTAGCCCAAAATGCCATACATTCTTATCATGCAAAATGTGTCTTCTCTATGATATAAATAAACACTGATTTTTAAGTTTACTCTCCTATATATATATATATATATATCATAATATTGAAACATGTCTGGATTATGGAATAGTTTTTCTTTTGATTGTTGTTATCGCTATCCATGATTATTATGCATTTTTCTCTTACCTGGAAACAATGCATGTATTCTCGCTTCTTCAATTTCCATCTGTGTAATTGTTATACCATGAAAAATGTAATAAAAATACAATAAAAAAAATTAAAATCTAAAAGAAACTCAATATAGAGTTATGTATAGATGGTATTTGGTGCCGATTAAATTGGCAAGAATGTATCAAAGTACCTTTTCTTTGTGTGGGAGATGTTTTCATAAGGAGGGTGCATTTCTGCATATTTAGTAGGGTTGTTTGAAAATCAAAAATGCTTGAGAATTTTCAATTTATATATGATAAAACCAATATAAATTTGGAGCGGCATCCTGCTTTATTACAAGATGTCCTGGAAAAATCTGCATTTTATTACGCATTGTTTTGTTGCCTTCAAAGTTGTTTTAGCTGAAAATTGGAAAAATAATGATGATTTTATGTGGGACTATTAAAACTCAATTACTCTTTCAATTTAGGAAGGAAAGAGATTTGAGTTTCCCTTACCTTAAATCCGATAAGAAACATGATATGTGGGATTCTTGACTCACCTTGATGACGTTTTAAGTACCTCAAACCAAGGCTTGCCAAAGATCTATGCTCTGTAGCATTTTTACTAGGATAAAGGATAAGATAGGTCCTACCCCTCCCCCTCCCCCACCCCCCCCACATGACACCGGAGTTCTGATTTGGTGTGTACAATATGTTTGTTTTTTGTCTTTCTAATATTTCTATATGCTTTTTCTATGTGTCTCAATATGTTATGGTCGAAATGTAAAATGAAATAATTCAGAAATTGTTAGTCTAATTTATATTATAATTGTGAAAATCAATAAAAAGAATGATTAAAAAATGTTTGTTAATCTTTCTTTATAAGTAAAATGTTCTGTTCCTTTAATTAGTTTTGTAGCTGGCCTCTTCACTTTTTCTAGTGCCATAATATCCTTCTTTAGAACATTGAACACCAAAAACTGAACACCATATTCAAGGTATGGTCTTACCAGTGATTGTAAAGAGTGGCTGTTTAGTGCACACTAAACAAATAAAGTGTTAGTGCTTGGATGAATATACTCACAATGCAAATTTGCATTGTGAGTATATTCATCCAAGCAATAACACTTTCATTGTTTAGTTTTGACACTGTTTTTAATTGTTTTTATCACATTAATATTGTATACTCACAATGTTCTTACAATATATAAATTTAATACACTTAAGCTTATTTAGCATTATGTATTTGTCTCCCACATTTGGATTTAGTGTAGGACCCACTGATAATGGGGGAATGTGAAGTAGTGGTGGGCTTAACACAATATGACCATATGCTACATAGTTAAATAGCTGAAAAGGGACTTGCATCAATCAAGTTCAGCCTTCCTCACATATGTTCTGTTGATCCAAAAGAAGGCAATAAACCCAGTCTGAAGCGCTTCCAATTTGGCAACAAACTAGGAAAAAATTCCTTCTTGAGCCCAAAATAGCAGTCAGATATGTCCTTGGATCAAGCAGCTATTACCCCACTAAGTAAAAATTATATCCCTGCTGTTTAAACATCTGTATGGACTCTGATAAAACCACCTCTTCAGGCAGAGAATTCCATATTGTAACAGAGCTCCCTCTACCCCGGCTGGGTACCTCCGCCAAGGACCACTTCCTAGCTAGCGATGAGGACCATAAGTACCGCACCGGACACCATGAGCGCTATATACCCCACGAACCGCTGCAGCTTGGTTGGGGTCTCGCCGTCCTTTACCCACCCTAGACCCAAGACCAGGATCCAGCTTCCAGTGGGTAGACCTCTCCTAGTCCAGAGAGCGTAGCAGGAACAGTTCTTAGAGCTAGTAGTGATATCTTTATAGCAGTTTCCCCCAATAAGAGACAAGACTCTAGATTGAGGGTGAAGTAAGTCTGGTTTAATGGTAGCCACACTGGCCTTTTATGTAAGTCCCCAAGCAAGGGAGATGCCCACATGGACCTTGCTGGGGACAGGGGACAGGGACACAAAGCTTACAAACCAATCAAAACAGTAATTAAATGTACGACGCTCCTGTAACAAACATACAATCCCTCCCCTCTGCCTGTGAGATTATTGAGTAAAGTACTGTATGTAACTCATTTATCTTCAGGCAGGAAAACCATATATTTTATAAAGTCCCATAAGTACCCCAAAACACAATATATCCCCATGTTACCTCCATGATAGCCCTGATCTGGGTGAACAACATATAAAAAAATCAACCAGATCAGAGCAGGGGTTCAGGAAATTCCTGGAAGTCTCTTTTTGACCGACTGCACGCATGGTTTCATGCCCAAAACAGTTCCAGAGAATCAGGGCTTGAGGTCGGTTTAGTTTGGTAGTTTGCAAATGAACAAACTACCAAACAGAGTCAAAAGTCTTACCCTGGAGCTTTTTCCCTTCATCCAGACGAATGATCTCACCAAGCAGTGCCCTTCTAAGCTGAATAGAAACGAACGCAGGCACTGATAGAAGTCCTGCGGTGTTTGGAAGATTTTGTATTCGATTTTAGTTCCAGGAGATTAATGCCCAAACACCGCTGCCTGCATTAATGCGAACAAGTTTCCCGCCACCTTGTGCTTGTCTATAGGAATTGCAGCCACCCAGACGAACAATTAGAACACTGCGGGGGAAAACGTTCCAGGTTGTTAATAGGTGTTAACAAGATCGAGGGTGGTCTCTGTTCATGAGGTTGTTCGGTAAGCGAACCATATAGTCCCAATTGCAAAAACAGAGCCTGTTTGAAGTATATTAGCCAGTACTATTGCTGTATTTGTATAATGTTATCATATCATATCATAGGCGCTGTTTTTCCAAACTAAAGAGATTTAAATTCTTTAACGTTTCTTCGTAACTAAAATGCTCCATTCCTTTTATCAAATTTGTAGCTTGTCTCTGCACTTTTTCTAGTGCCATGATATCCTACTTTCGGAAAGGTACCCAAAATTGCACAGCATATTCAAGGTGTGGTCTTACCAGCGATTTATAAAGAGGCAAAATTATATTTTCATCCCGGGAATTTATGAGAAAAACCTTACTGGCCTTAGCAAGATTGACATTGCATATTGCTGCCTAATTTGTCTATAACAATTCCCAAATCTTTCTCATGTGTGGTTATCCCTAATTCACTACCATTTAGGGTGTAAGTTGCTTGTGCGTAACTTTGCATTTCTCTACATTAAATTTAATCTGCCATTTTAGTGCCCAGTCCCCCAATCTATATAAATCCCTCTGCAGCAAAGCAATATGCTGCTCACATTTTATTACTTTACAAAGTTTTGTGTCATCTGCAAACACTGAAATGTGACTTTCAATGCCTATTTCAAGATCATTTATAAATATGTTAAATAGAAGCCCCAAAATAGAACCCTGAGGGACACCACTTACCACTTTTGTCCAGCCTGAAAATGTACCATTAATGACAACTCGTTGTACTCTATCTTTAAGCCAATGTTCTACCCAAGAACAAGAATATTCATCTAGACCAATTTCTTTTAGTTTAAAGAATAACCTATTGTGAGGAACTGTATCAAATGCCTTGGCAAAATCCACTGCAACACCCTGATCTATACTTCTACTTACTTCTTCGTAGAATGCAATTAGGTTAGTTTGACATGAACTATGTTTCATAAAACCATGCTGATTTTTGCTAATAACAAAGTTCTTTCCAATGAATTCCTGCATATTATTCCTTAATAGCCCTTCAAATATTTTCCCAGTCACAGAAGTTAAGCTCCCAGGTCTATAATTTCCAGGCAAGGATTTTGAACCCTTTTTAAGTATAGGAACGACATCTGCCTTCCTCCAATCCTCCGGTACAATACCTGAAACAAAAGAATCTTGAAAGATTCAGTCGATATGTTTGTGGAGCTGCCCTAATCTTATTGAAATTGGCTTTTTTAAAATTATACGTTTAGTATACCCCAAGTGCTTTTGCTTTTTTGAGTTTATTTAAACAATTACCATATTGTGATCACTATTTCCCAAATGCTCCCCTACTTAAATGTTGGTCAAAAGACCCACCCACATAGGGACGATGGCATGGGATGTATGGGACGCGTGGAGATTGGCACACTCTGAGTAAGGTGATTCATTCCTGTACCATAGCAACATGTATGCAATGTACTGACCCACTGTGTCCGCAAAGCAAGAGAGCATCGAATTAGGCTACGCTTGGGGAAGTAACATTCCAAGCTATACAGATCTCTCCAGCCCACGTGTGGACTCATTGGCTAGAATTATACTAAGCAACTTTGTGCGGTTTACTTTTAACAACAATGTTATTAACACCACTGTCCAAACCATTACTGTATTACCAAGCTACTATGCTACTACGCTATGGCGCCTTGTACCGAGTGACATATACTGTAACACGGAAACCTCCCCCCCCTCCCTCTTCTCTTCTGTACCTCCCCCCCCCCTGTTCTTATTAACAATAAAAATTGTCAAATTGAAAAAGATCAACATTGTTTGTTATAACGAGATCTAGACAAGCTTCCTTTCTAGTTGGTGCTTGTACCAGTTGTGACATGAAGGTGTTATTTAACACATTCAAAAACCTGATTCCCCTTGCTGAAGTACTAGTCACTCTATTTGCTTTTTGTATTTTTTACCCCAAAATTTCATTTTAAGGGTGCATCTTT